ATACCATAGTGTTTTGTATAACAGTGACAAATACAAATATCTCACATCACAAATGAACAATTGTCAAATTTTTAAAAGTCTCATAAAAATTCATCAGAAGGATTATTCGAATATAATTTTCTCTCAATATTTCACAAATAAATCTGGAAACATATCCGTATAAATTGTTACGTATACGCTTGATTTACGTGCACTGCTTTATTATATTTATTAATACTACATGATAACCGTGCGTTATTAAAAAAAAGGGAGAATATATATATTTATTGTTTTTTACTAACTCATTTTGTAAACAAATTACTTTACCGCCATTTGTCGAATATTTTCAAGTATCCATGTTCAAGAGAAACTTCATATAATCAAGGTTTAATTTGTAATCCTTTAATAATACTTTATTGGGAATAGTAAAAGCGGGCTAGAATTTTTTGAGTCAGCCTAGCTGTTCAGTAAAATAGTATTTCTAGCAGTAAACCATGCATGTTTCAAGAAATGTATTTTGCTTAATCGGAATAAGGAACTTTAATCAATGTTAAAAATATTACATTACAATTATTTAACAAAGTATATTTCTTGAAATATTTTGATGTGAAATACTATTTTATCCAGCTCTGTAGCCTAGTATGTCGTTTAAATACAAAATTATAATTTATTATATACGCTTGATACGTGAGTATGTGCACATACATATACGTGTAATAACCAGAGGCATGTTTTCGTCATAATTGAGCTTATTATCAGGCGATGGCACTAAAGTATAACTCGTCCATATTGAAGTTCAAGAATCATCACGCGTATTTTCAATTTCGATAATATGATGCAATAGCGAATTAACGAATGATTGAAAAATGAAAGCAATGAGTGTTAATAGTAAGATTATATGGTGTTCTTGTGCGATATACCTGTTTCTTTGTCACCTTAATATTACTTAATTAATTAATGACCACATCTCGAAAAGTACTTCGTACGATTTTATCTACGTATGAAACATACGTTCAAAAGGATTGGATTAAAGGAATTAAATATAACAGAAAATTGATGATAGAATCAATCCATGGCTTTTGAGTGCATTTTGAGATAAATTACAGATTTTGGAAGCAAGTACCAATGGTTACATTATCATTATTGATTAATTTTTCCAATATGAATTCAACAAGTATTAATGATAAAAGGAAAAAGAAGAAAAAATTAATGTGTGGTGATTAAGTTTTTTCACGTAGCCATTATTTTTAAACACGTTAACATTATCCATTAGAATATTCGTTTTCTCAACGTGCTAATATTATTCTTTAGCGAATGTTAAAACAAAAAAAAAAAGCAAAATATGTTTAGTAGTTTTACAAAAAACCAAGTGAGTACTCGTGTCCGCATGATTAATATCGCGTAATGTCCCAAATTGTATTTCTAACATTCGACGTACGTATTTGTGATGAAAATACTGTGATTAGTGGTGGTAGATCTATTTGCTGGTTTGCAACAAACATGAGTATAACAAGCGTACTGTACACGCACATACATTATAATGAATTTTTCACCAAATCAAGTATTTTTAACTTTTACGTGTTGGTGGTGATATATTGAGTTCAGTGAAATCGTAAATATAGTAACCAAAAAGTCGAAAATAAGTATAAAAAAAAAAGAAAAAAAGAATAAAGAATGTAAGAATGTAAGATCGTGTAAGACCACACGTGCGAAAAGCATTTACATTTACTTTTAATTATGGAAAGCAACGGAATGCCTTTGTCTCATAAAGCGCGTTTCGATCATCTTCATATTTATAAATAAAAAAGAAGTACACGCGATAGGACGCTTGTGCTTTCTACTAATTAAATTCGGAGGTGGTTAAGACTGTATAAAAAATATTTGACGCGTCTCACAATACTTTTGTCATTTTATTAACCTTCCGAAAATATCGATACTAATTCGCCAAATTTGTATCTTCAGCATGTGTTTACGTTTATGTATTCATTTATATACTTAAGGTGTATAGTTTTTGATCAATGATAAATAAAATCTTTTCATTTTAAACTTTACATTTCAAAACATTCATTACCTTTAAAATTTTGTTTTATTTATGGGTAAAAAATTACGCATTGAATTATAAAAATAACGTTTTACATTTTCATTATGAATTTTATTAAATTATGAAATATAATTTTTTTAAACTTTAGTTTAAAAAGAAAAAAAAATTTTTAAGTACGATTTTACATTACAATTCGACCTCTTTTCCCCAAAGAAACCATAGTATATGCAGATATGGGATACTGCATAGTACTATACAGTATGTGTTACTTGTCACATTAAATTTTTCAATCCTTATCATTTCCAATCAAGTGTTAAAATATTTCTCATTTCTCTTAAGAAAATGTTAAATAATAAGAAAATTCAAACTTAAATAATAAGCGCTCCCGAAGAAAATTGATTACGTATGTATAATGGATAGTACACGATGGCCAATGGATAACCTTTTTAACATGCTGTCAGGCTTCAGTACGGGTCATGAAAAAGCCTTAAAACAAGGCATTTATAATGCTGTGGCACTCTTTCTTTTGTGCCTAATTTCTGCAGCTGTGTACGGATTATATATTATATTAAGTCCGTTTGTGAAACCCTTAATTTGGGCTCTATTATGCGGTTCTGTTTTATTCCCTTTCAAATATTCATTAACAACCATTGTCAAGTCATGGTTTGAGAAAACAGAAGCATCGCATTCGCCTTTAATCATAAATTTAATTGTGCTACCTGTACAAATAGTAGACAAGGTATCTAACACTTTAGGATCATTTTTATGGAAACATATTAAATATATTGTCGGTGTATTTTTACTGACAACATTAGGCCTAGGTGCATACAATTATACACCTAGTATATTGAGTTCCCTTATATGGAAAATATGCCTAATTTTTAATATTATCTTTGGATTCTTTATCACAACATGTAACACTTATACGGTAATTTTTAAAAGCTCATAGAATGTTGTATAAAATATATAATATTAATACTAATGTTATTTTTGCAGATTGCTGTTATATTGATTGGATATTTGTCTGTATTATACATTTATTGGACACCATACAATTCATTTCACTTCTGTTATTCTTCATTTGTAATTTGGTTTATGATTAGTTTATATGTTTCCAACATGTTGGGTGCCTATCAAATTATTGTATTTATAACATTACAAATATTGTACTTGATAGGATTCATTTATGAAGTGGCAATTATTATGGAAAACCAAGAATTAGAAGGCAAAACTTTAACATTTATGGAAGCAATATGCTTTGCATTAACAAATAATTTAATTATAAATATACAACAGGACTCACTGTCTCCATTGAAAAGTAAAACTCCTATAGAAAATATTAATGAAGAAATCATAGATACCAAGATAAGCAATGAAGAGCAAAAAGCAAAAACTACTTCTGCTTCAGTAATGGCAGATACTGGTTCAAGTATGAAATTATCCAAAAAATCAATGTCATTAGATGCAGGTAATACAGTTACAATGAGCCACAAATTGCGACCTCTATCTAATGTTTCAAGTGGTATGTCACTACGTGATCGTTATCTCTTAAGAAGATTAAAAACAGAATTAAGGATGTCTATAGACATAGAAAATGACAAAGTTGATACTGACAAATACATGTATGGTGCACTATATGCTTGCATTGGTATGCTTTTTTGGAAACATAGATGGATGATATACATATTGATTATTCCTATAGCTTTCTACATTATTAAGCAACTTGGTAATTACTTTGGATTATGGAAGATAATTGGAAGGCAATGCAATATTGTTATGCATGGTATAAAGGCATGGTGCATAGAAAGACATCAAGCTCTTTTACCAACTAATGTTAGGGGTTTATATAAAGTTGGAATCATAATTGATGAAAAATTAACAAAAGTTTTGAAAGCTTCAGTTGATTCTGTGGTAACAATTGCTGTGGTTCTTGGATTACTTGTGTTTACTATTTGCACCTCTATTTTTATAACAATACAGGTACAATGAATTTATTATAGATAATGTTTTAAATATTTTGCAAATAATTATAAATTATTGTCATTTCTATAGGTTTATACAGAAGGAATACATCTTATACAAATTACTGGAGAAATACTTAATTCATCTTTAATGAGTAATCCAGACATTGATTGGCTACCAGATCAGTGGGAAAATTCAGTTAATAGCGTATTAGATAATGCTTACACATATGGACGAAGTGCGATTTCTGATGGAGTAAGATATATGTATATTATTTTAATTGCTATATGTACTTCGGTAATAACGTACAATGTGTGATGTAGATAAAAGGTATAGTAAAAGATTTAGATCCTGCAAAAGCCGATCAAATGGAAAAAAAAGTTTTAGAACTTTGGGATAGACTTTATCAAGCATGGATGATGTCTAATGAGAGTCCAGATTTAATAGGACCTACTGTAGATGTTACAGCAGCTTTTTCAGTATGGGATAGCTTCAAAGAAAGTTTTGGGAAAACACCTTTACGTAAGATTTTATATTTAAATTTAATGAATTTAAATACAGTAATATTAATTTTCTCTATATGTTTTATATTTCTTGTATGTTTTATATTTCTTGTCTTATATAGAATTGTTTAACATGACCAGCATACAAAACTTTATAAAAGAAAATATAGGAACTTTCATGTCAGTATTGGATTCCATTTGGAGTATAGTTAAAGGAAATATGTCTGTAATATTAACAATTCTTACAGAACTATTTTAGGTGGTGTTTTTTACAACGCTCTTTTATCTCCTTAGTTCTAGCGAGAAAACCTATAAACCCGTTGAATTAACTACAGTGTTTAGTCCTATTAGTTGCCATAGGTAAATTTTTTAATTTATATCGATGTATTTTATCTATGTACTTCCTTTATAAAGTTAATTTTTTGTATTTACAAGCATACTCCGTGTTGAGGGCTATGTGTACGTTGAACCATAAAAATTTGCAATAACATGATCTTTAACAAAAACAAAAGATGTATAATCTTATTCCTTTTCAGATTTGCTGTGGCTTTGCAAGAAGCGGTAATTGGAGTATTTGCTGCAACATTTAAACTTGCTTCTTTCTTTGGCATGTGGACATGGTTTATACACAATTTGTTTCAAGTAAAAATAGTTTATTTACCATCAACTTTTGCAACAATACTTGGAGCTGTACCAGTTTTGGATGCATATTGTGCTTGCATCCCAGCTACTCTAGAACTGTGGTTCACTCGAGGACCAATGATTGCTATTTTGTTTTTCATGTTTCATTTTCTTCCTTGCAATATTGTTGTAACTGAATTTTACAAAGAAATTAAAGGGTATTACAATTTTTTATATTCAACTAAAAATATACTTTCTTCTTTTATTTTTAACGTAACTAATAAATTTTCTTTTCATTTTAGCGGTGGACATCCATATCTTACAGGTCTCTCCATAGCAGGTGGAATATTTTGTTTAGGTGTAGAAGGTGCAATTTTTGGTCCTTTGTTACTATGCTGTATAATGGTAGCAATTAATTTAAGTCGTCGTTACCTGCATTCGCCATCGGAAGAAATTATACCCACGTATTCAGAAATTAAACATTGACATAGAAGAAATATTTAATGATATTCATCATTAATTAGTAGAACAAAGAATTTAAAAAGCTTTGTAACAGGGAAGTTACTAAATTTTAAACTAAATTATTTTTCGAGATATAGATAACGCTAAATGCTAACATTTTGCAAATGCCTTAAACGAAGCTCATAATGCAAAAACAGCATTAAACTTAAATTGTTTTAGAGAATATTCAATACTCATATAGGGCATTGGAAGAACAACTTTTTTCTATATGACGAAAAAATGAAAAAAACAAAAAATATAATAGTTTTATCTAGTCTTCGAAAAAGTTAACTTTAATATTATTTAAATTTTAGTTCGAGAGTTACAAATATACTTATATAATAATTGCTTATATACTTTATTATTTTTTGATCAACTTTTTACACAAATGTGTCTTGCTAACAACGTGATTTAGAAATTTAATATATACTAAGAAATCTCAGCTTACGCTTACTAATGTTATAAGTATATTATTGTATCAATTCAATAAGCTGGTCTTCTGCAGTTTTTGTGATTAGATACAAATAAGAGGGATTTAATAGAAAAAGAAAAGAAAAATCATATTTTTCCATTATATTTTCATTTTAGGATTGTTAACCTTTGATATTATTTATTAATTTAAACAGAACAAATATGTGTGTGTATATATATAAATACATACATACATATTTATGTACATATTTAGTTATATTGTTTATAAACATTGTATTTGTTTCATATTTTTTACAATATACTATATAATGTACTAACTTCAGTATTATTCATGTTAAATTTTGTTTTAAAAAAATCTGTAATTAAATAAATAGTAACCAATAAATATAGTAAAAATTTATCGAGATTTAGAAATAAATTTATAAGTTAACGACACAAAATGTCAAATTTGATGTATTTAGTAATTAGTATAATTTTGATTATACTTGTCATTCTGATTGGATTTGAAATTTATTTACATCGTGAAATGTATTTTCCTCATACAACATGAAATTTAATATTAAAAAGATAAATTTAATAAGCAATTATTTCTTAGTTACAATATACATTACATTTTATCTATTGGTATTATAAATGTCAGAAAGTGTAGTAATTTTTAAATTTTTTCTCAATGCTTTTGATGTAATTGCTTTACATGGAAGAAACACAACTCTTTTTTTGTTTTCAAACATATGGAAACCATTTTCTGAGAAATGGCCACAAATATTTCCAGCTTCTAGCCATACAAATAGCGCTACATTGTCCGTTGTTAGTTCAAGTTCAATATCTGGATTATTAAAATTTTTTCCAGGTAAATGATAGTCGTTTATTTGTACCTAAAATGAAATATTTCGTATTCAAAAAATACATATAACATTGTTTTGCAGATTCAATTATAGACTTACAGAAATGTTTGCAATTGGTAATGAAATGTTTTTGAAACCATTGCTTGGGTATATGTAATTTCTTGGTGCTATTGAAATTCCAGTTTTGTCTTTTAAGGTAAGTGCTGTAATACATTCCTGTTTAGCATCATTATCAAACTGGCATTCACTATGTGTTGTAGAATTTAAAATCCATGAAGTCTTAAGTAAATCATCATAAATTTTAGTTACTGCATTTGCTCCCTGTTAAAAAATATTGATTGCAAATTTATAACATTAAAACCTTTTTGTTTTTATGTATATAAAATGTTACACATTCTTATTATATACTTACAACAGTTATATTGTAATGATTGTGTGATTGTACAGGTTTCATACTATTCAATGTATATAGATTGACTTCCAAAGTAACATTTGTTATTGGATATAACTTATCAGAAACAATATAAATTGAAAGATCCATTTCTTTAACATAGTATGTAACTATAATAGGTGCAAAAAATTCAACAGCATAATAATGAAGCATTTTCCATCGTCCACAATAATCATTAATTACCTATAGAAGACCAAGATGGAGCTTGCCAAACATCATTTAATTGCCAATATAAAGCACCCATTGTCATTCCCTCTCCTACTTCATTTAATTCTGACATTGATTGTCGATAAAATTCTGTTTGTACCTTTACCGAAACTGCCTGATTAACTTGACTTAAATATATGTCATTTTCAAAATTTTGTACGCTATTATGAGTTTCGGGTATTTTAAAATTTTTGGAAATAAGTTTCGTCAAATATAGCATTCCTAACGGCAAATGTTGACGATGTTTCATGAAATTACTGTATATGTCCAAATCAGCAGTTGTTTTTGCAACAGGCAATATACTATAAATTGATGGTAGTGATTGAAATCCATATTCTGATGAAAATCTTGCTCGAGGATATTGATGCATGTCCCATCCATTATTGTGATAATTGTAATAGTGAACTGAAATATTATTTTATTGAACTTGAATTCATATGTAAACACTATTTTTATAAGAGAATAAAATAATTATGTTTTACCATCTCCATATAACTGTGAATATGGATCTTGTCCAATATAATTATACTGTTCTGTATGTAATCCGTTGCTAGGACTAGAGACTACAAAAGGTCGTGTAGAATCTAATTGTTCTACTTCCTTTTTGATTATGTCTACATAAAGCTTAATGTAATCAGTTTTATATATTTTACTAGCTCCAGTTCCATACCAATTTCCAAATAAAGCTGCTTCATTTTCATTATTTCCTGCCCAAAGAACAATGCTGGGATGATTTTTTAATTTCTGTACATTTTGTATTACCTCTTTTTTAACTAATTTAAGAAATTCATCTGTAGTAGGATACATTCCACATGCAAACATAAAGTCTTGCCAAATCATAATTCCATATTCATCAGCTATATTATAAAATAATTCAGATTCATAAAGACCTCCTCCCCATACTCTAAGCATATTCATGTTTGCCTCTTTTACGGATGTTAATAAATGTTTAATTGTCTCCATTTTAGCACTCAATTCAGGAAAAATACTAGCTGGAATGAAGTTACTACCCTTTGCAAATATTGGAATGCCATTTATTCGGAAATAAAAGCTTAATCCTTTTTTGAGAGGCTTTTGTACAAGTTCTACTGTTCTGAAACCAATACGTACTGTCTTCTGCTTGACATTAATAGAAGTATTTGCAGTTACAGTTAATGAATAAAGCGTTTGGTTGCCATAACCATTTGGCCACCACTCATGTACAAGATCCTATATAAAAATAGATTGTGTTATTAAGATTATATACCAATCAAATATTTACAAATGTTCGAATATTTTGAACTTACTGCAGGTACTTTGAGATGTATAGTATTTTTTATATGTTCATTATTTATATTTAAATTAATACTACTAGAATTATAAATATTTGATTTTTCATTAATATTAAGAATAGCCAAAATTTGGCAAATTGTAGACTGATTATTTTTTAGTAAGGAAACTTCAAGAAATACTGTGATTATGATATTCCAAAAATTTTCTTCTTTATAAACATCTGTTGTAATATCCATGATATATATTTCATTTACAGGAATTATTTCTACACTTTTCCTAAAATACCATTCAATTAATGAATACCATTCAAGCAGTAATAAATAATGTAAATATATAAAAAATTTGAACACACCAAATACCCATTGATGGAAAAGCTGGACCCCAATCCCAAGCAAAACTGGCTTGCATTTTTCTTATATGATTTACATGACACTCTCCATTGTAAGTATTTGGAAGGCATATTGGAGGAATAGTATATTTTAATGCTTGTTCATTATAAAAGGTTTCAGCTATTTTTACTGGAGAAGAAATGAAGACTTCTAATAAATTCACTCCTATCTGAAAAAAAATGTTAATAAATAACTATTAAAAATATTTCTATAAAAGGAAATTGCTTACTTCTAAATATTTTGTAACATCAAATGTATATCTTAAGAACATATTTGATGTTTCCCCAAGTTTCTGCTGGTTTAAAAAGATTGTAGAAAATGTATCCACACCATGGAAAATTAATACCACTTTAGGAGCATTTAATAGATTATTATTTGCTATAAAATAAATATTTTAAACGCTTTTTCAAAAAATTCTGTAAGCATAATATTCTTATGTTAGAAAATATAAAACAATTACCATAAAACATTTTACTGTAAACAACTGATTGATTACCAACCCATCGGTTGGTTATATCATTATTTTTAATAAAATTGTCTGGTATTATATTTGCTTTGCTCAAATCTGTATAAATTCCACCTGGTACAGTTGCAGGAAATGTGATTCCTAAAAAATTTGTTAGTAAAAAATGTTATAATTGTTACATTACAATATTATTTATTAAAAATCTTACCATATTTGTGTTTGTTACTTGTAATGTTACCTGTGTCAGAAATTTATACAATATTATGTAATGATGCAATTCTTATTATATAAAAGAAATTGTATTTGCATATTTAATCCTGCTGTTCTGTTCGTACCTAGTATACGCTTTTACTGTTCGGGTCAATATGACCCGGTGTTTAATATCTTATGCTGGCAGGTATAAAAATAATAAACAAATGTAATTACAATGAACGCTTGTGCACAGTCCGTACTATAAGACGTAACTGCTACATAACTTTCGAATAATAACAAAAAACAAAATAAGATCAAATACGAGCGGAAAAACACAACGAAACAAAGTGAGGAAAGAAACCAAAACAGAATAAAATAAAGTAACCATTGTATATTTGTACAACATAATCCTGTATTTCCGGCTAAAAACATTGTAATTAAACTTTATATTGCCTTGCACCGAAGCATTTTTATTATTCCAAACATAAACATCAGTTATATTTGTATCGCGGGTCATAATGACCCGAACAGTACATTAGTACAAACTCCAAAAAGTAAGAAAAGATAATTAAAATGTTTAAAAATTTTACTCACGGAAAGGTTATTAGATAACGTAAAACAAAGTCATAGACCGATTACGTTGCTCTCTCATAAATGAAGGATTTATGCGTGAATGAAATTTGTTTAGGGTCAAATAGACCCAAACAGAACAGCAGGGTTAATATAATATATTTTTACCTGCCCATAGACCATCTAAGGTTATGGATATAACATTATTAATTAAAGATATACTAGATATAAGTTGAAAAACTTTCTTCATAATGCTTGTTTTCATATAATCTAATTGTTTGACACTATGTAATATTATTTGATTATTTAATAGTTACTTTTACAAATGTTATATGTCTGAAAACCTAGATTATACTAAATTTCGTATCACGTTTACTTGTTTATTACTTAAGTTTATCGTTCATATGTTTATCACATCATCAAATGAGATAAAGTAATGAGATAAATATATTTTGTTTATATGAACGTAATTGTAACGGGAATAATATTCAGATATTTAATTTCTATAGTTTGCATTTCATAATGCAATATTTGTAATTAATTTAGGGTAAATGAAACAAAACATATAAATATAATATTTTATTCACAAACAAAAACACTACTCGTATAAAAATACATTTTACTATTCAGTATAAATGCTTACAAGAATCGAACTCAATTAATTAGTATACTGCTTTTTTCTTTTCAAACTTAGGTTATATACTCCTCAACAAGGATTTTCAATCCCGTAAATCATTAAAATTTAATGTGCGTATCATAAATTAATTAACTACACACGAAGAAATATATACTAATTTTTTAATACATACGTTTGTAGTAAAATAATACGCACACATGTATGAATATTTATGAGACATGGAATGTCATAAGAAATGTAAAAGGAATTATATTTTACAATTCTTAAAAAACATTTAAATTTTATATCTTGTATTATGTTTTCATTTCTTCTGTTAATGTATTTGAATGATATAACAGTATCATTGAAGCAACAATAGAATATTATTTGTTTTATCAACATTTAAATACATATATACAACATCTGTCATCTTAAAGACAGAAATAGTACTTGTTAGTGTTTCCTTTTTCTACTGGAATATACTTGTGTCTTACTGTTTGAGGGAAATTGTTTTCTATAATCTATATGTGAATCAGTTTGTTCACTAATTGGTTGGTAACAACGAACAGGTGATTTAAGGATGTTATCAACTTCATTAGTTGAATATTCTGAAAGTATACGTTATTGTTTATTTATATACAGTACCACTTTTGTTTAATTTAATTAAAATATATATTTTGAAAAATTGTGAAAAAATAAAAAATTAATTACCAGTTAAAGATTCATGTTGATGTTTTCTTTGCAGGCATGTATTAACGTGATCTTCGTAATGTATTCCATTAGTCGTTTTATACTTCGAACAAATGTGACATTCAAAAATTTCATCACTGTCAGTGTTTAATGGTGATACTTTATTTTCAAAAACATGTACATCATTTTCATACTCATTTTCATATTCACTGTCTGACACATATTGTTCACATCCAGCAGCATGTGTTTCTATTTTATCACTTGGAAAAGATTTATTACAGATAGGACAATTTACCTTATTTGTAAAATTATTCTCAGGAATTTCCATATCTCTACTTACAAATGTACTATTCTCCTAAAAAAGAGAATTCAGATATAAAATATATAAAGTTCTTCCTGGATACATTGCCAGAAAAATGTGTAAAAGTTTATTACCTGAAACGATCTGCTTTGTACTATGATTTCTGAAATCATATTTTCATTTTGTCTATTCAAACTCTGTAATTTTTCATTATCTTCTTTATTAATTTTTTTTTGAGATTTCATATCTACTACAGTTTTCCACCTTTTGCTCTGCTCTTCTCTATACTTTTCTTTCTCTACTCTTTGCTTCTCCTCTATTTGTTTCTCTTCTATTTGTTTTTTATAAAACTCTTCTTTTTTCTTTCTTTCTTCATTTTCTTTTTTTTGAGCTTCTTCCTTTTCAATTTCAATTTTTTTTCGTTTCTCACGCTGAATTCTTTCTAAAATTATACATTCATTTTTTATTCTATGTGAAAGACCTTTCAATGGTAACGGTTTAATTTTGGTTTTCTCAGACGTTTTAACCTTATCATTGACGCTATCTTTCTTTAATTCTAGAAGGATTTCTTTATCAGTGAGAATATTACTATTGTCTTTGGATATTAAATTTATAGTATTGTGTTTCTCATTGCTACTATGTGCTAATGGACTTTGTGGGGGTGGATTAGAAACGTGATCTTTCTTTTTATTAATATTCTTTCTAACATATGGAGGTGTAATTTTGTTTGAATGTAAGGAAATTAATTCAGATGAAGAACGTTCTTTGAATTTTTTCTTGTGTTCCATTTTAACACTTTCAGTCTCACTATTGTCAAGGAGTGTGCTTATATTATCATAGTCTGAATTTCGATCTGTTTCACTGTATTTAACAGTAGACACTTGTTTAGGGGAATGTAATATTTTGTTCGTATCTTCATGAAATTGAGTTTTCTTTTTTTTAAATGCTTTTTCATCTTCATCACAATTAAAATGTCTTATATCAGTAGGAGAAAGATTCAAAGTTGATTTACGTTTATTAGGTCGTTCATTGTTATATTTGTTTGTACCTTCCATTTGATTTTGTTCAGTCTTAATATTTGTCAATGACTTTTTATCCGAATTATCTTTAGCAAGTCCCACCTATAGAAATGTTGAAAGAAGGATTAGAATTATATCAATGAAACTATTTTTTTTTTTTTTTAAAGAAATATGATTTATTCAAAAATTGTTTGTAGCTTACAGTTTGAATCACTGCTTTTTTTATATACACTTATGTATACATGTGTTTGTATAAATGCTAACTTTACAACTTTTATAAGAAACATCAATCATGAACCTCAATTATTTTTATACAAAGCATCAATGTTAGTTTTTTCAAATTATCTTATTATTATAAATATAAATAAAAAATATGTAAACTTTGCCAGTATTATCTATAATATATTAGTCAAATTTTATCACAACTGTTGTACTCACTAATAATAAAAGACAACATGAAATACTATTTATATTAAAGAAATGTTACAATAGGATGTTACACATTTTTTATTGAGGAAAATCAACGAAAATATATATTAAAAATGTGAATATTTAAAAGAAATATTAAAATTCTAAACACAAGTGTGATAAGTATATGTGCATATGGCTAACTTTAATATTAGTTTTCCATGGCACAATTTTATATTAAGAAAAATTAAACTTATGTGTAAAAGAAAACATTTTCTGATATCCATTAATGATAGGATCTGTAAGAAATGGATTGTATGGAGGTACCCACCTGAATGGGTGACCCCCACTGAAACTTAGTATCAGTAGTACGGTGCCAACTATGCCACAATTCCGCTGTTTGTTTCAAATGAATGTTTAATGCAGGCAGTAATTTTTCAAGCATCTCAGGTGTTTGTGCTTCTTTGCATAATCTAAATGGCATGCGATCTTCAACTACAGGCCGATTTGGCATTTGCAAAGGCACATCATTTTCACTAACACATGAATCAAGTGGATTAATTTGCCATCGATCCAATTTCTGATTACATTCAGAATGTGTGTCCATCTTTGTCTCTGTACTATTTATAATATCAGAATCTTGTAAAGAATTATTTGATTTTAATGAAATGTATTTACTCATAGTATGAGAATAACTATCTCTCATATTTGAATTGTCTTGTAATTTAACAAACATATCTTCATTGTCCAAATTTTGTCCTCTATATGCAGAGTTTCTTGAATCAGCAATAGCAGGTGCAATGTCAGGACTATTACAGCTATGAGTTGATATTCTTTCACGTATTGGTGATGTATGGTTAGGTCTATATGAATGCATTGACTGAGAGGTGTCATTGTGCTCTTGTATTTCCAATTGTTGTGCTAAATTTGACTTGAGCATCCCTTCTGCAGTACAATCATTAGAAGTCTGTAATAATTCCTGAAAATTATAAGATTGTATACACATTAATGTATGTATACAATTGCATATAAATCACTTATTATACTAACAATAAACGATATTACTGTCAATTAAACAAACTCTTCATTAGTTATCAGTAAACTAACCTTTTGTGCATTTTTTTCATCATTAGCCATATTTGCCATATCTTTAGATTCATTGATGAATCCTAAGATTTGTTTCATATCCCTGTAAGTATACCAGGTCTCATACATTTTCATATCTGTAAATTATTTTCATTGAATTATCCTTAGAAACTTGAATAAAAAGCCATAAAACTGAATGTTATTGTGTTATTACAAATCAAATAAAAAATATAATTAATAAAATCTGATAAATTTCGTGAAAAAGTAAGGAATATAATATTCTGTAAACAATTAGGTACCTAAAAGTTCCTGTTTCATTTCTTCTTCTTCCCTTTCTTTAGGTGTCAACATTTCAGCTTTATCTCGTTCCATACTGTCTGACATATTTATAATTTCGTGCGTTTAGATTAAGAAGCGTCAACAAATCGTTTTATAGGTACAATTGAAATTTGACTGCAAAATTTGTATGATTCCCAATTTCGAATTTTTCCTCATTACTACTTAATAGAGTTATTAATAGCCATTTATGAACAATATTAATGATAAAAATTAAAATTCACTGAAAGACATATATCATATTAAACGTATGATCTGAAATTAACTTCGAACATTGAGAGCAGTAATACCGAACTAGAAAGATATTGATGTCGACAATAAGCAATTTCAGATCATTCAATGTTTATGACTTATTTACATAAATAGATAAATTTTGTTTAAATACATTTAACACTATTTGTACGATTAAATAATTACAAAATAATAATAGCATAAT